TGGAGAAGCCCGCCGCAGGCGCCAAAGTTTCGCAAATTTTACATCGAGCCCGCCGCAGACGCCGTTTTTTTCATTAAACCAATGTGGGTAGGTCGCGGGTGGGTCGCAAATTGGTCGCGGGTGGGTCGCTGTTGGGTCGTGGGCAGGTCGCAGATGGGTCGCGGGTGTAGAGGGCAGAAACTTCTTGTTCTAGAAAAAAGAGGTTCTACCACTCTCCCCTCCCGGAGTTATCGCTTCACCAGGAACCGATGCAAAACGCATATGATTCTGACCCACTGTCCACCCTACCTGTGAACTCGTACTATCCCAGCCAGGCCGGTATCGGTCCCCCCCACCATCCTCTGCGACAAATATTATGCGCGCGCACTCGTTTATCAAAAACCACAATTTGCCAAGAACTCCTTGCAACATCTAGGACGAAGTGCACACGCGCGCGTCGTCGCGCGCGCATGCCGAAATCCTTCACAAGGCTTTGGTTTCGGAAGGATTTCAAAATCGAGCGTCCACAGCACACACATATATGTATATAAAGCACTGAGTTTCGCAACGCGGATTTTCAGCAAAAGCGTGTGCGCGTTCTCTTGCGAATTATCCAGAACATCAGCAATTTCCAACATTTTCATATAATGCTACCGAACGGGCTTCCCGCGCGCGCGTGTCGAAATCGTTCGAACGCCCTTGCGCGCGTGCTGGGGTGTCACGGTCCATGTCAAATAATACCATGCGAGTCACTCTCTCGCGTCTGCCGCGCGCGCATTCCGAATTCCTTCCAAAACCTTCATCACCGACGCGAAGACGCCGTCATAGTCGTCGGCGTGATCAGCATCGGCGCCGTCACTGGCTGCCCCGTCGTCGCTGTCAGCATCGTCGCCAGCATCGCTATAATCATCATCGTGTCTACCGTTGTCGGCGTTGTTATGATACCGCCTCCGCCCAAGCCGCCGGCTCGCACTGAAGTGCCCGCTGGGATGTGCCGAGCAGTCAGCGCCACCGCGTTCGCGTCGGTCGCGCCAGACTAGCTGGCCGCTGCGCGCGCGAACATGCGCGGGCTAGCGCGACCGCAGAGATGCACAAACCATCACCCAGCACTCATCGCAATCGCTTCCGCACGGGCTTTGCAAACTAAGTTGCGGGTAGGTGGGTGAGATCATTGCGCGAGCAGTGGGGTTGAAACCTTCAAGTTTGGCATGTGAAGCCACCGCATAATAATACACCCGGCTAGCGAAGCCGTTTCGCAAACGCACACAAGGAACGAATCGAACAGGGCAGGGCTGTTTAGTTAACGCCCAGGGCCGTTTCAGTAAACGTGAATTGTCGGGTCCGGGTGATTTTTCCTCCCTTGAGGGTGGGTCGCGGGGTGGGCCGCGGGTGGGTCGCGAGGTGGGTCGCGGGTGGGTCGCGGATGGGTCGCGGATGGATCGATGGGTGGGTCGCGGGTGGGTCGCGGGTGGGTCGCGGGTGGGTCCCGGGTGGGTCGCGGGGTGGGTCGCGGGCGGGTCGCGGACTGGGTCGCGGAGTGGGTCGCGGGTTGGGTCGCGAGGTGCGTCGCGGGTGGGTCGCGGATGGGTCGCGGATGGATCGCGGGGTGGGTCGCGGGTGGGTCGCGGGTGGGTCGCGGGTGGGTCCCGGGTGGGTCGCGGGGTGGGTCGCGGGTGGGTCGCGGACTGGGTCGCGGAGCGGGTCGCGGGTTGGGTCGGGGGTTGGGTCGCGGGTTGGGTCGCGGGTTGGGTCGCGGGGCGGGTCGCGGGGCGGGTCGCGGGTGGGTCGCGGGTGGGGCGACGACAACAAACAACAACAACAACAACAGCAACAACAACAACAACAATCATTTTACCCGAACGCTCAGTGTTCTCCCCAGTGCCAGGGTTTTCTTGCGACACCAGCCAATACCCCCACTTCGTGGGGGGGCCGTTCAAGCTCTACCAAATATCCAAACGACTCTTCGAGACCACCCACACCCAGCTTCCCGCCCTATGACGTTGGGACACTTCACTTCGTGGCGTGCGGACGACCCTGGCTACTACACTGGCGTGGGGTACACACCCACAGAGGTTGATCACATCTGTTACATATGATGTGGTACACGGTACACGTGAGATGGTACGCAGTGCCAAGATAGTTGGTCACATTTTTGGGGCAAATTCGTGGGGATGCGATTACAGAAGTACATGTGTTACACTGATGTTATACAGTCCCAAGGATGACGCATGCATTGCTCATAGACTCATGGCGCTATGATCCTAACTCTCAGTGCCCAACGCGCGCGTGCACAGCCAGACGGAGGGAGAGAAACACATGTATACAAGGTTCGTGACATACGCATACACATCGCACCACTTTCTCAACACTGAGCGGGACACCAAGACAGCTTTCCGTCGCATACGCAACACGGTATGCAACGCGTGGTACTTCAGCCCTGGATATACAGCGCGCATGTGGTCACCAAGTGCCGCGTTGAGCTTTTCGGCCGTGTCATACTGCAAAGGTCCAGAGTCAGGGTGATACTTCACGTACCATTGCCTCAAAACCATACCGCTGACAGCGACGGGAGGATCGCTCTCCGAGAGAAGCTGCGAGAGGACCTCCGCAGCGGCCTCGTCGGCGAAGCTCTCCCGATACTGATTGAGTCGAAGACGCTCGCCCATACATTCCTCCACAGCTTGGGCAGTGTTCAATGCCCCCTTGGCGCCCCACTCCGTGCTGAGCCACTTCTGGCATACCCTGGCGTTAGCAGATACAGATAAATGTCCCAGGAGCCACTGCTTCA